GGGGGGGGGGGGGGGGGGGGGGGGGGGGGGGGGGGGGGGGGGGGGGGGGGGGGGAGCGGAGGGGAAGAGGCGAGAGAGAGACAGAGCGACAGAGAGGCGCTAATAACAAGACACATACCTCTGGGATGCTAGTGTGATCGTAGATTGTTCTGCCTCTAAATAGTCAGCTGGTTGCCGCCATCCTACCCAAGTTTGTGGCCACGACGTAGTACGTATTGCACCGTGAAAGTATCCTTTGTCCATTCACGACGGGACCCCACCATAAACACGAAGTGGTTCACGTGCCGTAGACAGCACCTCGGTGTTCCCCACCGCTTTTCATCAACGCTTAACAGTTGCAGCGCTTCTTTCTATCGCAACGCGCTTAGCCCGGCTCCACCGTCCTATTAATTGGCCCTCTCCGCTCTAAAGCACTGACTGCTTTGCCATTGAATATACTCTCTAGGGCCGGTTGCTTGGCTGCCTCTTCTTTCTTCTAGTCTCCTTGATCCGGTTGACGCCAGCCCTGCCTCACGCAACGCTGCCTCTTGGGATTTATGAGCATCAGCTGGTGCAGACGACGCGCGCGGCGCTACAGTGGCCCTTTCAAAAAAACAAAACACCTCTCTTTGCAGTTTGACCATTCTTTGTTGTTTAAGGCATGCCATAGGTGCATAAAACCGCATGCCCGATCAGGGTAAAAGATGCCTCTGCAGTTGTACATTCACATTTTTCAAGTCTGTCATGAGCGTAAAATATCGCATGCACAGTCAAGGGTAAAAAAGAAAGCCTTTCTGCGCAGTTCGGTCTCCATTTTTCTTCAAAGTATACTGTATGCCATAGGTGAACAAAACCCGGCACGCTCAGTCAGGGTTTTAGCTCGACCTACCACACCCCTAGACAACCTTGCTTTCGGGATCATCGCTGATTGGTCGGCCATACCCAGCGCAACACGATACAGCGAGAGAACCGTGATCGTCTCAAAAAAAATCCGGGGCGGCGCCAAGTCCGCCGGCGGTGTATTACACCCGGTGTCAGAAAAGCAACATGCAGGCGGTCACTGATACTTAAAAAAAAAATGATTTTCGGTTGTCGCTCCCTTGACAGCTTGTGGAAGTGTACTCATTTGAAGTGTGCCCGGTAGGCGTTTTGGTACTTGACGTCCAAGAGCGACAACCGAGTTATTTGCCTCAAAAACTGACGCAAACACATGTGAGTAAAATCACTTCACCTCTTCTTGGGCTTGACGCGCTTCAGCTTGCTCAGCGGGAGCGCGCGACGCCGCTGGTTCTCCGTCTGCAGCGACTCCAACCCCGGCGGAGCCTGCGCCCTGCGCCCCTGCATCCTCTTCGGGGTGACGCGGGTGGCCTCCTGCAGCACCTCTGCGGGGGTACGCAGGCCGTCCCCTTCGGTCCCCCCTAACCCCTCCCCCTCCTCGTCTTCCTCCTCCTGCGTCTCCCCCTATTTTTGTCGTAGCCGTCGTCGTGAGAGGTGGAAAGCGTTAGAAAAAAATCAGACGAGAGAGACAACGCACGCACACGATACGAACTAAAGCTAGGTGATTTCGCTCTCCGTTTGTCGGCGGTGAAAAGCCGTGACCCAGACATAAACCGGGAATGGGCACACTTCAGGAAGACACACACGCGAATACAAGAGAGATAGACATGGAGCACGCCTCCGGGGGAGGTCTGCAGAGTAAACAATAACCCCACACGCTCAGGCGGCACCCTCGCTCTCCGTTCTTGCGGTGTCGACGGGCAAGCCGTGCCCTGGTGAAGCCCAGGGATTGGGACACTCATTTCAGTACACACACGCGAATACACGAGAGATAGATATAGAGCACGCCTCCGTGGGGGTCTGCAGAGTAGACAATTTTATAGTCCCATCCCCTGAAGCAGCACCGGGGGGTGCCGCCTCTTTCTTCTTTCACTGTATGGATACCTGGATGGTACATTCCTATGGCGCAAGCAAGTGAGAATACCGCCCGTCTCGGGGAGTCGTCTCCCTGTCCATCCCTCACCTAACAAATCCAGGGTCAGCACTGATCGCATGTACATAAAACACTTTTCAAAATTATGGTCTCCAAGATGTTAGCCCGTGCGTACAAGGGCGCTTCGCGGCGTAGCGCTTCGCGGTCGTCCCTACGCTCGTAGGTTCAATGGCGATGGCAAGTGTGTGCGGGCGGAGTTTGGAAATGAGAGATACGAAGAAGAAATGCTGCAAAGAGGGAAAAGTTGTTTGTTTGTTCGAAGAGCAGGGACGCACAATGAACAATTTCATATTCCTTTGACACGAAGTATTATGCGACGGCCGGGGGACAGAGAGTATTTATTGTGATTACTCGGAGTAAGAAATTTGTTTTCGAGAAACAAAGGCTCACTTTTTCCACAAAAAAAATAGGAAAATAGGATTAAGTTACAAAAAAGTAAACCTGGGTCACACAATAGAAGAAACGTTGCAATAAGAAAACAGAGGAGCAACCCCTAAAATGCTCTACTATTCGTAAGACGCGACACGAGGGGATACGGGGGGGGGGAGGGGAGTGAGTGTGTGTGTGTGTCGAAAAATAATACTAAGGAAGATACACCAAGCAAACAACAGCTTTTTTTTCTCTTTCTCTCCCCCCTTTCCCACGTGCTGTACCCACCCCCTTCAGCCAGACGTTGTAGCTGAATAATATTCGCTTCTTAGGGTGTGTGGTCTTCGTATGTGATCTGATGTACAGCCATCGGTGGTGATAATCGAGGTTGAGACGGTAGGTGACGAAAAGCAGCGCAAATCACTACAACGTTATGTGTAAGCAAAAGCAGTGAAAACTAGACAACCTTTGCCAATTCATGAAAATATGGCAACCCGAAGCAGCAGTAGTATTGCTATATGCTATGCTAGAGGGTTTTGGGAGTCAGATGACTGTAGAAGCTCGTGTGTTGGTGTGTGCTGGTGGGATGCGGAACATGTCGTCCCTGTAGCTGCTCTACAATAAACTGCTGCTGTACTGCGGTAGGCAGCAGGTACCCACAAGGTACTTAAAAGAAAAAAAAAAGTGAAACGGAGGAACAAACAACGTATTTCTACATGTTTTTTTTTCTCGCGAGGGTGTGCAGCTGTAGTTTTGCAGCCAGCAGTGCGCACGACACCGGCCGCTAGCCCGCCCACTTTTCGCCGGGATCGAAAGGGAGACACACTAGTCTAAAGCAGTAGATTACTTTGTCTCGTGTACTTCGCAGACTTGGTGGCTTGGTTGTGTGTGGTACAGGTATGTAGCGTGTAGCCAGCGCACGCGCACGACGTCAGCCGCTTGCCGAACGTATGAATGGCCTGCACTGTCAAGAAATCGGGGCATGATTGGTGGATCTATGGTAGATGTAGGAGACGCGACTTTCTACCCTCGCTAGCGCTGCACGCAGCCCGCCCCGAGGGCGCGCGGCACGCCGGGAGAGCCCTCGCAACACAGGGCTATCGATAGGTGCAACTCTCGCTTCGAGGCGAGGTCTACGGGCGGAGAAACCGCGAACAAAGGGCTCCAGGCTCATGAGAGCATCATGATTGCATTTTCTTCGATGTCGTGAACCCTCAGCCCGTAGGACATCCGTCAACAGGTCTATTGGTCTACATCACCTTCTTAGGCTTGAACTCCCTCGGAGGCAGCGGTGCTCGCCAGTCAGCCGGCAGTTCTGAGTACGGTGTCGCTGTTGTTTTCGAGGGGGGGGGGGGNGGGGGGGGGGGGGGGGGGGGGGGGGGGGGGGGGGGGGGGGGGGGTTACGACGTAGGGCGGATGGGGAGAGACGCGTACTGGGTGAGTCGTTCTTTGCTTCGCCATGGGGCTGCCGTTCGACCACAATCGTGCTCCTTCACACGATCATGCTGTTCCATTTTATGCTTAACACGGCCTGTTCGGGTTTTTTTCTACATGGGCCTGAGGAGGTATCCATGTACAGAACCCGTTATTGGAAATATCTCTACCGCGAAGAGAGAGCCGTGGCTGGACATCCACCATATGTCTCGAGGTGGTGAGCACACCTCCCAACCGTACTGTTTCACCTACTGCTCCGGCCAACAACTCTGGATACGACAGCGAGGGAACAAGGCTTCTCTACCAAAACCCGCGTGCAACGCGTTCTCTAGCCGCATGGCTACACATCCGTGTGCCTGCCGCGCTAAATATGCCTTTTCCGTCACAAACCCCGACCTGTATAATTCCATGGATAGCCCGTACCTCTGGGAAAGCTGGGCCACCCTCCCACCGAGCCTGCAACAACTCATCGCACACCCCGGCGTTTTCAAGCCATTCTGTCATCGCAGGCTCTGGTTGCCGACTTTCAATGCAACTCACTACCGTCACAAAATGTAAACACCTCCCATTTCTATACTAAAACCAAACATTCCCTGTTTGGTTTCCCCATTGATCAAATAGGGAGGGAGGGCTGTTGAAACAAGAGGTTCTACGAGGTTGCTCCTTTTGTAGTCCGCTCGTGACAAGAAAACAACGGCACACCCCCTCCATGAAGGGTATTGCAGTCTCCCTAACGTGTGTCTGCTGGAAGACGACTTCTCTCCGTGGAACAGCAGTATGCGTCATGGATCTCTGTGACACATCATGACACACCGCGCATGTACACGCACTCAAATGTATGGATCCATCAAATTCTGTCTACTCAAGGAGATGGAGCGCAAAAAGCAGGAGGGAAAGCAGCTCTTGACGACCGGCGCCACACACGTTAGATGTGCACGCACCTTCTGCTTCTTCGCTCAAGGTCATCCGCGGTGTTGAGGCTGCCGCAGCAGCTGCAGCCGATGCGGGGACACTCCTTCGACTTCGTTGCAACATTGCGCCACCACCGGGCGCAACAATGAAGCCGCAAGCACCAGCCACCGCGCCCACATTACGACCTGTTTTGCCGTGTCAGGGTCCAAAGCGACGGGTGGTTACTCTAGGCCCAGGGATCTTGGTCTTGGCGTGCTACAGCAGGGGCAATGAGGGGCTGATTCAGCGCATCATCAGCGGATTGGTACGTCATACGCGCGGTGCAATCAAGACATAGTGATGACGAGACATGCTGACAGAGCGGTGCTACTTATGCACCTACGTACCTCTCGCCAAAGGAGCAGAGAACCCCAGGAACGCCAAAGACGCCAGTCGGCTCCTTCTGCTACTGCGCGATGCCATGGCTGGGGAGGCGTATGCGTGTAGAGACCAGCAGCGGCAGAGAGAGCGAAGCAGTTGCACAAAGCAAGGGACAGAACAGAAGAGACAGCGGAGCTGAGGGGCTCCGCCGTTTCTGTGTGGGTATGTCGTTTTTTCCGAAGGGATCAACACACAACAAAGGCAGAGACACTGCACTCACTACCACTGAAGAGCTGAGAGGGCTGAGAGGGCTGAAGCTACTGAAGCTACCGATTTGGCGGAGAAAAGTGAAGATTGGAGTGCACACCTCATGGAGAGCGACAGTGAGTCAGCTCCCGTCTTCCTGCTTTTAGAAGGATTAGAGTTCTTAGTATCACTGCTGTGTTGTCGTCTCCACCTGGTGCCTCCCGTTGTTCTTTCCTCAGCGCGCTCCATACACAAAGCAGGCAGGTCACGCGCGCCCCATGCTCAGGCAGATCCCCTCCAACAAGAAATGACGGACAAACTGAGTCGGGCGGATCGCGCTCCTTCTTGCGAACGTTTTCACACGTGCGGATGTTTTTTTGTCAGCGGGGGGGGCAGCAGGCAGTAGCACCTTGTTTCTCGCCCAAGAACGGTCGGATGCATGTTTCCCGTTTTCGCGTTTTCGCCGCATCACAGTTGGAGCCCTTGCCACCACTATACGGGCTTCCCGAACAGAGCGTATGTATGTGTGCCTTGCAGCACACAAAACAATGAACACGGTGCACTACTACCAGGAACCTTTTGCGGAATGCCGAGGTCACCTACGGAGGGGGCGATCAGTTAGCTCGAGGCTGTCGTTGAAGGACGACGAATCTGCGATGCACGGAGATGTTCAAAGGCAAACTCTTTGATGCGGCGTGACTTTTCTTTCTGCTGTCCCGAAGAGAGCCAGCAGTTGAAGTACGGCTTGCTCGCCATGTGCATGCCTTGGTGAGGGTGTTGGCCGCACAGGGCAGTAGTCATCGCTGCTGCATATGACCAGAAATACTGCGTGCAGGTCAGCTATGACAGCACCCTTCATAATTCTGGTGTGTGCCGTGTACATGAACACACATGACAGATAAGAAGCGACAACGCAACACGCCGTGGACAAAGCAGTCGAAAGTCCTTTGAAGTCCCGCGTTTCATGTAACCGAGCGCTGAAAAACGGGTGAACGCGAGAACGCTCGTTACCTACTACCTACCCCACAGCGGCTACTAGTTAAGCAGCGGGAGGGGGTGTCGAGGCGCCCCTACTGAGGGTTGTATGCATTCTAGATGACTACAGCGCCTGGACACAGGGCTTGCCCAAAACAATTCTTATAATACATAGTCTACGCGGTGATTGCCTGTAGGTTGGTGAAACACCGCAGGAGGTAAAATAGAAGTAATAAATAGTAAATAGTTTCGTCGTGTAGCAGTTAAGATCCACCTGCAATCGAGTACTATTATACTCGTTGCTGCTGCTACTGCCCTTCATGAAGGATGCTCTTACAACATGGCTGAGACACGCTGCAAACGGTCTCGACAACACTCTTCGACACACATCGTTCGAAGAACAGGGAAGTTCTACCTGCATCGACTGCAACTACACTGCTGTGCTGACCGCCGCCTGTTCATTTGCCTCGATGATACGTTTTGCACAAGAAAGACTGAAGTCCATTGCTGTAAATCAGTATCACTCCTAACCGACTATCCTATGTATCCCCCTCCCCTTCAACGCGTTTCACCTACATGATGAACGGCATAACATTGTAGATTTCAAAATGAGCGGGAAACAGCCACACTCAAATCTACAGGACAACTCGAACTGTTGAAAATTCAATTAAAAAAAAAAAAAATGTGGTGCGTGTAGACTACATGTGCAACAGTCCTACAACAAAGTACATACTGTAGTCTATATTCAAGTCGCCTAAAACAGCAGCGAAGTACTCTCTAAAAACAGCATGTTGTCAAGCGACACTAAGCCATGTTCCCTGTGAAGGCCACATTCCACATAAAATTAAGAACGTATCCGCCTATACAGATGCTTTTGTTCTTAGCTCCAACTGGCATTACTGGTAACTCAGTGTTAGGCTTACACAAACGCAAAAAAAGCCCAAGTCTCCAGTTGGTTTCAATCCACTTACAGAAAAGACTTCACCACATCCCTTTCGACTGAGGTTATATCTCGAACGGGCAGTCTTTCTGTCAGGTTATGTTAAGACTACACTTTCTAAATATGGTGCCGTCACTTGTGCGTACGAGTCGCCGGATGTTGTACTGCACTTGACATGGTCCGAATACTGCTGCTGCCAGTGGAACGCGGGTTGATCTCGGGCGTGTATCGACGATCCCCACCACTTATTTGAGAGCACACCACACACAGCAGCGACGAAGAGTAGCCCGAGGTAGAGCAGCGGATTTGGGGACGACACCCGCACGCACCGCCCCTTCCCTTCTGCGGCAATTCCTCGACCTGTCTTTTGCGCTGCTGTGCGTGGATGAAGGATGGATGTAGACGCGGTGACCATCGCTACATTCGCCGGGTTCGATAGTAGCACCGACCCCTCCTATGACACCTTCACTCATAAGGTTGGGGATGCGCGGTGATCCAGCCGTTTACCGCAGTCGACAGAAGCTGACGGTAGGTATCCATAGTCCGAAATGCATACTGTATTTATTATTAGGCTCGACTTTCTTCGAAAGTTGGTGTTTCACGTACTCATGCTTAGGACGATGTGAAAGTAGACATCAGCACTACTCTCGCCTGCTGCCACTGCTGTTGCTGGCGTGTTGCTCGGGACTTGGGACATGCCTCTTGGAACACCGTAGTATGGTGCTGTAAAGGAATTCTGTGCAGCCGAAAAAGCAGGCACAGCAGATGAAGTGCTGAGTGTGGTTAAGGACGATTGTCGTCGATAGTACCGGAATGGAAACTAGCTGGCCCATGCGGAGGTGTCTTCATTTATTGACGAAGTACGAGGTACAATTTATTTGTTGGAAACGGATAAATACTGGAAAATTGGAACGATTGGTGAAAAAAACAAATCAAGACCATCTCCAAACTTATCGCTCTTGTGTAGAATTCCACGAAATTAGCGATGAATTCATCGTAGTGTTCAATGACCACCTGTCTGTGTTTACGGCTGAGTGCCTCTTGGCTATTGTAGTGCTGCTATTAGTAGCGGTTGCACTGTCTGAGTCCTTCCGTGTCATTCGATTACATGTAGTTTCAAGAGGAAAGCCACCGATTGCTGCTCTGTGCGTCAAGGCTAGCGCCGTGCGTCAGACTAGCGCCGACTGATGCCCGGCCTATGATACCTATGATGCCACTATTGACCATTTGTTGTCCTCGGAGTAGTCCAACGGCTACCCCCCCCCTCCTGTACTTGTTTTCGACGCTCAATTGTCGATGACTGCACGCGGTTCGTCATTTACTCCTAGGTATGCATCGGTGCATGTGCAGTACTTGTTTCTTCCCTTCCCCCCCCCCGGCCAATGTTGCGATCTGAAATTTTCAATTTGCTCGATGTGGAATGTTGTTGTTATTTTTGTCTTCACATTAAAAGACGTTCCGTTCCCTCTGCCCAGTACCTTCCTCAGTCCGTGCTAGTCTAACACTTGACGGGGTCGATTCCCGTGGTCACAGGCTAATTTACCCAAAAAAGGTATGCGAAAAATAAAATGGATCCGAAGGGTCCGCAAGCCAATAGAAGTCAACGACAGATGATAGAAACCGGTATAAGTTTGTGCGTGTGCCCGCTTGCCAGACCCCTCCTATCCTGCTTCTGTGTACTACGTGTACTATTGTGCCGGTACATGTGACGTTAGTGGGGTGCTTAGACATGTCTGGTTGCTTTGCTTTGGAGTGTTTAGGCGTACCTGTTCACTGACGGACTACGAGCCCCCATCTATCCGCTATAGGCAAGACGTCCATCTAATGCTGTGCGTAATGCCCACCCCCCCTGTTCTCTCTCGTCTCTCTCGCTTTGTACGTGTCTGTCTCTGTCTTTCTCTATATGTGTCTGTCCCTCTCTGGATATCTCTGTATCTTTCTCCATCTGTCTGTCTCTGTCTCTGTCTCTGCCCCTCTCTGCCTATGTCTCTCTCCCTCCCTGCCTGCCTTTCTCTGTCTCTCTGCATCCCTGCCCCTCTCCCCCGCTCTCTCCCTCCCCGTGTTCAATTTCTGATTGTCACCGCGGCGCCGGTGCGCAACAGAACTTCTCCCGAGCACCTCTGGACGGGGCGTGCTCCCTACGAGCTACGTCGACAATGGCAACAGCAACAACTCCTCAGCCCTGTCGCAAGTCGGGAGCGGGGGCAGCATCGCGGGCAGCAGCAGTGCCCCCCCCCTCCCGGGGCGCAGAGGCGGCCATCTCCGGAAGAAGCCGACTAGGGGGGTCACGCGCCAGGAGGGACACTTGTCGCTTGGTGAGATGCTGGGTAATATAGAAGCTGAAATCAACCCATTAGACTAGTCAGCGCTGGGTTGATTTCAGCTTCTGTATTGTAGCAACGATAGCTGATTTGAAGTGAAGACAAAAAGAAAAAAAAGACGTGCTTCTATTGAAGTGTCACGTTTTGTTGATGAGAGCTGAAGAGCAGGCCAGCGCGTCTGCTTTTTGAGTGCTGTGTCCGCAAGACGGTGGCAACGCCACTACTGTGCTTGTTGGGGCTGGGCGTAGCGCGGTTCGTTTTCGTCTACCTTCAACGTCGCCCCCTCCAACAAAATAAGAATGTGTGTGCCAAGCAGCAATGTTGTGGTTGCCTCTGTGTCTCGCAGGATCTATGCTCTTTTCTTGTTTCCCCGAGACATGTACACAAACACACGCTGTTTGTCTCTTATTATTTGTGGGCAGGCACGTTCAGACTCGTCGAACCTCTGTCGAATACTCTTTGCCCACGTTTTCTCTTGTTTCTGCTCTTGCCGCATCCACTCCAATAAAATGTTTTCGAACCCTTCTCCGGCTCCGCCGCGCCACCCGTGCGACTACAGTGACTGGCCGTTCAGATACAGAGAGAAGCAAGATTTCTCGCGTCCCAGGCTGGTGACCCAAAGAAGTATGGAACGCAAGAGCACTCCTGTTGCTGCTGCTGACGATGATGTATCGCGTTGCGGCCTGGCCCAAAGACATGTGTGACGTAACTGCTGCTGCTGTTGATGTCTTTTTTTGCTATGATAACGCACGACAGATGCCATTTGGAGCGCCTCGGAAGTCGCCACCGCCATCAGCCGAGACCTGGTTGAGAAGGCGGAGCGGTGGAAGCTGCTGGGCGGGTTAGTCGCTCCGTTGGTACCCGGGGATCTGATTGGCTGATGAATGATACAGAAGTAGTGGTTTCTGATGGATGATTCAGAAGTAGTGATTTCTGTACCCGGGGAAGTTGATTGGCCGATTGATGATACACCGAAGTGTTGGTCGTGGGTTCTTCATAAGGCCGCATCAGTAGGACCAGTCGCCCGGTGAACGAGGCCGGTTAACTCGCTTGATGCAGATGGAATATTGAAGTTGCAATTAGTAGTCTCATGCTCTGGGTAGAGACGGGAGCCAGGTACACAGGGTCGGCTAGAGCGTTTGGCATCATGCGGCCTTATGCAGGCACCCGTACCACGTTTTTTTTGTGTTGGTGAGACAGCTTGGGGAGGGTCCGGCAGGGGCGCCCTCGTGCGCCCGATACTTTCTTTCGCTGTGGCTGCTGTCTATAGGTCAACCACAAGAGAGCCCGTCTTACTTTTCACGCAAGAAACGCGAAGGAAAAAGCTTCGTTTTTTTCACCATCGGACTCCTCTTGTGCATACCGCCTCTGGATTTTTTTTTTGGTTCTGAGACATACATGCCGGCGCGGTTAACGGTATGGCTCTTGGAGTACCGTGGAGCACCATCTCACGCGCAGGGTAAGGTATCGTGTGCAGATCGCTCGCTCGCTCCCCGCCAAAATAAGTCAAGTGCTCGGGTGTTGTTTCACAAGAAAAGCCCTGAAACCGCGAAAGCTTCACGCCCCCTCTCACGAAAATGTTGGTATTATGTATGCAAACAACATGCGTCGCCCCCTCACCGTTATTTGGTTGTTGGTGTCTGTGGGCGAACGGCGGTCGCGCAGAGAGCCCTTAACGGGATCCCCCGCACGGTTCGCTCACGAGGACCGGTCCCAGCTACCGGAGGTGCAGCCGCTGCTGGCGCACGACGTAGACAAGCACGAGGTGAGCAAGCAGCCTAGGAGTAGACCGACAGAGAGAGGG